TTTAATTTATTTTGCAAATCAAAGCCTGTATATACAGCAATATCTAGATCACTCTTAATTTACACTTACTGTTGATTAGAGTATTGGGAAGTGGTTTAATTGATTAATTTTAGGTAATGCCATTGGAGAGTGAACTGAAGATAAACAAGATGGAAATTGTCTAATGTATTTCATCGCTCCTTCTTTTTTTTTTTTTTTCTGTATATAATATTCTAGCTGGGAAGTGTTCCTAGTTTGGTTGTTATTGTTACTTGAATCTCTCTTGTTAATTAGCAAAAGCTGCGGCAGTAGAAAGTTACATCACTATTATTACATTGCTGTAATCTACTGAAAAAAAAAATAGAGAATGAAAAAGATAGAACGACGAGGATGCCATTTATGAGATTGTTTAGATTTTTATATGCATACGTATGACAGGCGCTGCTAATACATTTCTTATTAATTTATCATACCATGGCTGTGATACTTTTCTTCTGTATTATCATTACTTGTGTCTTTACTATTACTATTTTTCAAATTGAATATTAAGGTATTCGCAGCTTATTTCCAGCCTTATTCTCTTCTTTAGTTTTTTTTTCTTTTACTTTTAATTAAGCTTTTATTGTTCTTTCTTTATTTAACACCTATGTTTATTGTTGTCATCAAAAATAGCTGTTGTTGAGAAGCGGAAGAGCATAATTTACGTTTTTTGATACCTAAGATTACTAGCTGTACTTGTGTGGCAATAAAATTTTTAAATAGATAGTAAATAAAACAATAAGAGAAAATTCCAGTTTTCAAAAAAAAAAAAAAAAGGTATTGCATACTTCATTGCAAGTGACATATCAATAAACTTTTTGTTATTTTTTTTGGTTTGAATTACTCAGCTAAACAGTCCCATTTGATTTCGGTGTACCATACGACCAAATGAATCAGCAGTAAAACTACATGAGAAGGAGAAACGAGAAAAGAAAAAAAAGAGAGGATAATGGTTTGCTAATTACTGGTAATGTTTAACTGTTTTGCAAGTATGAAAGCTGCAATGACAAAACACTTGCCAATTTTTGCAGCAAACAGTCATTTTATACTCGTATCTTTTGCAACTCGTCGGTAGATATCGAAACCATCAGTGATAGCTACAGATAATACTAAAAGAAAAATAGTTTTAATACTTTATATGTTCCGTAAATTTTTTCACTTT